TGGAAAGATTTAACATTTTATTTCTGTAATATACTATATATTTTCAGGCGTCCAAGAGGCATAAAATCAACGGAAATCATTTACTCTTAACCGATAAACCTTCAAAATGTAGATATCTTATTAGTTTAACGAGACGAAAACATTTTATCAACTAGAACTGAAGACTTGTTTGGCCTTGTTTTCCCAACTTGATCGTGTTCCCAAGGCGACTTGGATGAATAAAAAATGGTACAGATTCCTCTGACATAGTAGTCAGTATAACCGTGGACTTTGTGCTTGAGTATTGTGTTCATCTAGACAGCCCTGCCAACACGACCAAGTTATAAATACAGTTAAAACCACTCCTGTACAGCCATAGGATAATGACATCCGAAGAGAGGCCAGGTTATCTTGGTCTTCATACGTTCGATTGAACAGAGCAATTTAAAGGCTAATAATCGCTCACGATATAGCTCATTTGCAGTCTCATAAGGTTTTATTTAAAAGGGTTTCTTTCATAAGAATAATTTTTATGTGGAAAAGTACAGAAATTCTCGAAAATATTGGCAGATTTTCTCGAAAATAATGACAACTGTGTCAGCTATCAGAGGCCTGACAGATTAACTGTTCACGATGAAGGCTTAAACTCGTAAAATAACTTCCTTAAAGGCTCATATAAGGAACAAATATGTCCTTATCACTTATTTGAATGCAAAGATTTCTGCAACCATGTCTAAAACGGTTTGAGATCATCTATTATCGAAATAAGTGTTTTCGGTTTATTTAACATTCTATGTTTCATTTGTGCTTGCCTAATCGCCACAGGTGTCTGTTAACGTGGTCGAAGCCCGCCAGCTCAATGGAATCAACATAAATCCTACAGTGGAGGTGAAAATTGCCGACAAAACTCAAAAAACCGACACAAAGTTATCAACTTCCAATCCATATTATGACCATTTTTTCATGTTCGACTTCTTCCTGCCCAAGGAGGCTTTGCTTGACGAGGTTATCAGGATCAAAGTAAGTTCAAGTACTCCTGACAGATAAGATAAAAACCCTAACTTTGGATGCGTTGCCCCTCCTCCGTTGCCATGCGGCGTACGAAAAACAGTCTTTGTTACTGTTGCTTTGTCATTGGCCGGCTGAAACTAGCATTTGGCTGCCATTTAATAGGCTTGGTATTATAGAATAAGTTTTATATCACAACAATAGAAAATGACAGCAATTTTGTGTTATAATTTCCCCTGTTTTAAGTATGTATTTTCTAGAGCCCAGTCCGTCTTTAGTGAATTCTGAGAAAAATACCTTTTTGCATAGGTCATTCTTGCTCGTTTAGCACTTTCATAAGATAAAATAGTTTCCCACAATGGTATGAGTTGATCTGACGTTTCCATTCAATTTCACATAGCCTTGCTTTCCCAAAAGTTCGGCAGTCCACCCTGGTGAGAAAAACTTTTGGGAAAGCAAGGCTATGTGAAATTTAGTGGATACGTCAGCTCAACTCATATGATTGTGGGAAAATTCTTCTTATACCAGTCCTTCATCACCTTAAACGAAATTGGTTGAATACATCTCATACTACTGATTTACTGGTAGTCACGAAAACAATA